TAAGTCCATCCTAAAACAAACAGAAGGATAAAATTCAACTAACCAAAAGATGACTGGAAAAATACTATTTAAAAATGGCAGTATCATGGAATTTACTTACTTTAGGGCCAACTAAAACAAATATGTTATTTATAGGTAAAGAACAGAATGTTGGGTCATGAGCTGTAATAGTGCAGGAATAAAACAAAAGTTTTGAGGAAAAACCTAGGAAAAAAGGAAAAGAGCATAAACATACCAATTTCATTACCTTTGACAGCAAGGAGATGAATGGTTTGAATTAAAGATGATGTATTTGAAAGATTATAAGTAAATACTAGCATAAAGGTAAAGAGTAGGGAAAAGGTGTTCCTATACGGAAATTAGGTAGTGAAATTAAGAGAGGAATACAAAAGGAATAGAAATACATTTACTACTTGCTCATACTGTGAGTCAATTTTTACTACATTAAATAAGGAACTATAAGTAAAATACAGAATTACAGGTATCTCTGTAGATTCAGTGCAATCCCAATCAAAATCCCTGCATTTATTGTTCAAACATTCCAGTCTTATTCTAGAATTCATACAGAAACTCAAAGGACTAAGAACTGCCAAGGGCACCTGAAAGCAGATTAACAAACCTGAAAGACCGAACGCTACCAGATACCAAGATTTACTATAAAAAGATAATATGGCTTCAGCTGAAACTCAATAGTGAATCCTGAAACAGACAGAACTACTTGTGGTCGATGGCCAAGCCGGCCTTATAACACAGTGGGGAAGATGGTGCATTTTTCAGTAAGTAGTTCTGTGTTAACCAAGCATTAGTCTTCTAAGGTACCATAATAAAATTATCACACATGTACTGGCTTAAAACAATCCAAACTGAATACTCACCATTTCTGTGCGTACTGGTACAGGTGAGCTGGGTCCTCTGCTCAGGGCTTCAAAAGGCTGCACAGGAGGTGCTTGCTGTCAGGGCTGGAGACCCATTTAAGATTCTGGGTCCTCTTGTAGGCACACGGTTGTTGTTGGAATTAACTCCCTTTTGGTTGCCAAGCTCAAGCCCTCAGCTGATAGACCATCTGCTATTCCCTTACATATGGGCCCCTCTCCAAAATGGAAGCTCACTCCCTCAAAGCTAACAAGAGAATTTCTCTCACGCTTTGAAGCTCTCCCTTCAAAAAGGGCCAAGTCCCTCTGAAGGACTCAGCTGAGTAGATCAAATCCAGTTAAATATAGTCTCCCTTTTAATTAAATCAAAGTCAGCTGAATTGGGGCCTTAATGACATTGGGAAAATCACTGTACCTTTGTTCTATATCATAACCAAATCAAGAGTAAAATCCATCATACTAATTATTCTTTATGATTTATACTCCAGAGAGGCGATTACACTGGATACCACTCACAGGAATCTCAGGACATCTCAGAATTTTCTCGCAGATACCCACAGAGAAAAAAAGAAAAAGAAAAAGGAGAAGCAGCAGCTAAACTTCCTTCTCACACTATAAACAAAACCCACTTCTCATCTTATCTTATGAACAAAAATGAATGGACTGCAGATTTAAGTGATGAAAAATAATGCTTTAACACAAACGTAGGACAGTAAGTTAGTGATCTTGGTTTTGACAAATATTTCCTAAAATGTAAGGATAATACTAACAAAGAAAAAATAATAAATTGGACTATTTCAAAGTTAAGAACATTTTTATTAAAACATAATAAAAACCCAAAGTGTGAGAAGACATTTATAACGCATATATACAACCAACAAGAGTCTACTCACACTATGTAGAGAATTCCTACAAATCATTATGGGAAACACAGAAAATTCAGCAGTACAGTGGGCAGAAGACCTACAAAGGCAACTGAAAAATATATGCAAGTGGAAAATGAGCACATGAAAGACAATTAACTTGATTAACAGAAGAATGCAAATGAAAAACACAATGAAACATAGCAACACTCATCAAAGTGGCTAAATGCTAAGTATTCTAGAGCATATGAATGAACTGGAAAGTGCTGGAAAACTCTGTCCGTGCCTAAGATTGAACATACTTGTACTCATACACAGCAATCACACTCCTAGATTACACTTAATAAATATACACTCAAACATACTTGCACCATGACACATACCAGCATGTTCCCGGCAGGGCTGTTCCTCTTATCCATAAAATACCAACTACCCAAGTGCCCTTCAGTAGAAGACTGAATGAACCATGATGTATTCACGTAACACAATAACATTCAGAATGCAAATGAATGATCTACACCACCACACACCTACGACATAGACATCCAAACATAAAGTCTAGCAAAATAAGTCACACAGAAGAAAACACACAATGACTATGTAACTTATACACAGTACAAAAAAAAGAGGCAAAACTAATCTATACTATTAGAAGTCAAGATAAAGGTTACCCTTAAAGAGTGGAGACAATTGAAGGCAAATGTAAGCAGATTTTTGAGGTTTGGGTAATGTTAATTTCCACTGAGCTGGATGCTGTTTACAAAAATGTGACAAGATTGTGAAAGTTTTTCAAAAGGCACATGTCTAAGATATTTGCACTTCTATGTATATTATACTGCAAACTAAAAAATTTTTTACAAATAGGTTATGTCTTTAATTGCAGTTAATTTCCAAGTTCAAAATTAAAAAGAAAAAAAAAGACATCACAAACCATTGCAACCAAAAAAAAAAAGAGAGCCAGAGTAACATTTTGAGTATCAGACAATCTTTTATTGAGGGACAGAAAAAGAAAATGAGAGAGAGAGATATGAACACTTTTATAATGATGAAACTTGAAAGACATAATGAATATCTAACAATTTTGCAAATATACAAACTGATCATCCATGAAGATGGCAGTATAATAACCTCTGAAAATTTGCACCTCCACAAAAGCAACAAAAAATTGGCAAAAATTCTCATAATCAACACTTGCAGAATTCTGGAAAATACCCAAAGGCTGGCTACAGTAATAAAAAAGTGGTATGGTTTTGCCACAAGAATAGACAGCCTAGTCCAATGAAACAGAATTGCGAATTCAAAAATAAACCTGTACATCCATGGCCAATTGACTTTTGACAAGGATGGCAATGCCAGTCAATGAGTTCAAATAGTCTCTTTAATAATCAGTGCTCAGACAACTGTATATCCCCCGCAAAAGAACGTCAGTGGGCCGCCTACCTCAAATACATACAAAAATTACCTTAAAATGGACCAATAACCTAAATATAAAAGCTAAAACTATTGACCTTTTTTTGGAAGAAACTTAAGAGTAAATCTTCATGACCTTACATTTGGCACTGAATTCTTAGGTACAACCACCAAAATACGAGTAACAGAAGAAAAAAATGGATAAATTGGACTTTAAAATTGAAAGTCTTCGTGCTTTAAAGGACATGATCAGAAAAAAGACAAGCACAGAACAGGAGAATACTGTTGCAAATAGTAAATGTAAAGGGGATTTGCATTCAAAATGTACTAAGAACCCTTACACCTCAGTAACAGAAAGACAAAGATCCCACTTAAAATACGGGGAAAGGACTTTAGTAAGCACTTATCCAAAGCTATATACCTGGCCAATAGATACTTCAAGCCACAGTGATGCACCCCTTCACGCCCGGCGAGTTAGCCAGAAAAACCAGGCACATAAAACTCTAAGTAAGTGTAAAATTTCGTGTCCCTGGGATGTGGGGAACCGGAACCCGCACGCAGCGCTGGCAGGGATGTAAACCAGGGCAGCCCCTGTGGGATCAACTTCCCCCAAAACAAAGTGCAGGGTCACGACCTGCCCAGCAGCTCACTGAACACCACCGCCCACACAGACCCAAAATGGACCCTTCAGAGGGAATGGTCAACAATAAGTAACTACTGCCGTGGAACCAACTGGAAAAACATTAAATTTGGACAATCGTTACCTTAAATAATTCTAAGCTGAGAAACAAAGTAGGAGGTAAATAAACAAAATGATAGCAGAGCTAGCAGAAAATGTGATGTAATCTCAAATCAGAGACTGTCTCCCCAAGCAGAGGGGTAACTGGAAAGACGCAGGCGAGACGCGGAATACACACGCCTTCGCACACGGTCTTCACCACCAAAACCTCAAAACCAGAAAACCAGCAGCACCGCGGACAGCGTGGGGCTTCCGGTCCAGACGCCCCACAGGAGTGGTGCAGGAAAACATATGTGGGGAGTGAGGAGGGCCGCGTCCCAGGTCTCGGTTGAGCCCCTGGGACGTGCCCGCCAAGTGTGGGTCCTTGGCTTCGCGCAGGAAAGAATTCAAGAGCGAGCCACAGGTGAGTGAACGTAGATTTATTCAGAGAGCTACGCTGAAAGGCAAGAGAAAGGCCACCCGGTGTGGGGGTTGGGTGCTCACATTAAAAGTAGACACACACTCCACAGACAGAACACAAGCCATCTCCAAAGAGGGAGAGAGGGGGCGGCCGCGAGGCGCTGTGTTGCTGGTTTTTACGGGCTTGGCGGCTTCACATGCTAGTAAGTGGAAGGACCGGTCTAAGCAGCCTGGGGAAGGGGCTGGGATTCCCAGGAAGTAGGCCATCTCCCACTCTTTGGCCTTTTGTGGCCAGCCTCGGGACTGCCAGGGCGCCTGTGGGCGTGTTACTCACCACGTTAATACATCACAATGGACGTGTAATAAAGCTCAACCTCTGTGAGAAGTTAAACATCCCTTCATCCTGAGCCTCAAGGCCTACTGGGGGTTGAACCTTTCACCATTTTGATGTTAATCGCTGTGGCATTCCTTGAACGGCTGTGCCCTGCCCCCTTCCATCCTGTCTGAGGAGGACGCGCGCTCCCTCCGCTGCGGACGCGGGGCCTGAGAGAATCCAAACGAGGGCGAGGGCTCCTGAGGCCTGCAGGCCAGACAGTCCCGCCCCAACCCCCACCCGGGGCGGGCCCTCACACCCTGAGCGAGGTGGCCCGCACCCCCGCACCGGAGGCCGCGCCCCCAGGACCACAGCTCTCAGAACCTCCAGAACCGCTGACTCACCGGCGGCGGCCGTCCTATCAGCAGAGGCTGTCCTGTCAGCGGCTCCTCCGCGGCGCGGCCTCCTGAGGAGCGGGCTCCCGTCAGAGACTCCTGGGATCGAGGAGTCGCCAGGGTCGGCGTCGGGTCTGACACGGGAGCGCTGGGCCTGGCCGGCTCCACCTCCGCTCCAGGGCCTTGACGGGCGTCTGAGGCCTGTGCTCCGGGGCTTCCATCTGGGGTGTTAACGACCGGAGGGTTTACCACAGGGGAGTTTACGACTAGGGGGATGTTTACGACCTGGGGGGGTTGTTTACGACTGGGGGGTTGTTTACGACTGGGGAGTTTCCGACTGGAGGGTGTTTACGACTTGGTGTTTGCAACTTCGGGGGCTATGACTGAGGGGTTTACAGCTGGGGGTTTAGTCTCAGTTCCCGGGTTACGTCTTGGGGGGGTTACAACTAGGATGGGTTTACAAGCTGGGTAGGATTTACGGCGGGGTGGGTAACGGCTGGGGTTTGGTCTGGGCCCCCGGTTTGAGTCTGGCGGGTTTTACGGCTGGGGGGAGTTTACGGCGGGGCGGGGTTTACGGCGGGGGAGTTTACGGCGGGAGGGGGCCTAGTCTGGACCCGGCTTTTGTGGCGCCTGACAGGAGCCACCTCTGCGGCCTGGCGCTGGCGGCCCCCGCGCTCCGGGCTCTGGTCCCACAGAGGGTGACCAGTGGGGACGGAGTTCTTCAGCGACCCCGCCCGCTGGGCCCAGGAGAGGCCGCAGACCCGGGAGCCTGGTCTTCGTGGGCGAGACGCCTCCGAGCTGCGGCCTGAGGGGCGAGCGCGCTGGAAGGCCGAAGGTAACCGCTGTCCCCTCCGTCCGCGCGGCCTCCGCACACTGGGTGCACAGTCGGCCCTTGAGCAGCACGGGTGTGAGGCGTGCGGGCCCACCGGCACCTGAGCGTTTCCGTACACCGGTACTGTGTGGGTGCCGTCACCCGCCGGGAGCCCGCGGACCCCGGCCGACCGTGTTGTTCGAGGGTCAGCTGTGTACGTGTTTACGGGCTGTGTTCAGTGTATGAACTACAGTTTATGTCTGTGGTCGTGTGCATATGCACATAGACGTGCCGTGTATGCATACTGTCTGTGTTAAACATACCATGTAGCGGAAAAGGAAACTCAACTTTCTTAAACATGAAGAAATACTCAAACTCCCTTTTAATAATAGAAAAAATTAAAAATCAGTTGACAATTCTTCACATAGTTGAATGGTAATGATGGGGATGGATGGATGGATGGATGGATAGACTTCCCACCAGAACATAGGAGAACAGATTGTCTCATTTATGTTTCATGAAGGATAAATTGGTAGAATTCAGTGGAAGGTAATTTTACAATAACTAGTGTGTGTGTATGCATATATGGAAATAATTCTGATCTAGCAAAATTTTTCTCCTTCGCGATTATTTTGATCTTCTTTCACCTGTGGGAGATGAGGCATGTTCAGATTGTTGCAGCTTGGTAATACAAACACAAATTGGATAAGACATAAATACCCATTAATGGAAGACTTGTTAAATAAATTATATGCATCAATAAAACTGTGTACCCAGTGGGGAGCATTTAAGGGAAAGAGGCAGCTCACTCCCGCTCTTTTATATATATGTATATGTATATATTTTAATAAAAGACAGTCCAGCAGTATTAAGTAGAAATATACTTTTATGCAGACATATGTTTGTAAATGAAAATAAATGTGAAATAAGTAAAATTTGTTACTTCTGAGGTGGAACTTGGATAGTGACCAAGGGATATTCACTTTTCACCTGTACTTTATACCTTTATATAAATTTGTGTGTTTCTTATGCCACAAGATAAATATCAAGCAAGTAAACAAACAAACCCCCAAATGAAAAACAGTAAGGTGTTGTGCAGAGACTCCGGGGCCCAGAGCCCTAACCTCTGACTGACAACCTGACTTAAGAGCAGTTCCTTAGCACCTGGTGCATCCCTGTTCTTACCAAATAAATGAAGAGGAGACCCCGCATTTCCGGGGTCATTTGGTTTCCAGTCATCTGTCAGCTATTCACATCATGATAAATGCAACAAGGGCCACTGGTTTTTGTGTTGGGATTTTTGTTTTTGGTGTCTCGTTTTTTAATTGGAACCACCCTCAATTGCCAGTCTGTTCTGTGCACAGTCTTAAGGGTCTGACACAGGGATGAGATGCTTTACCCGAAAGCTCCTTTATTTTATGCATAATATGTGTAAGTTGCCATATAGACACTGTCTTCAGTTTCTCCCATCTCCTAAAAGAAAGACAATAGTCCAATCAGAATATCCCTCCTCATTATGTAATTTGTCTGTCAAAAGCTTGGGAGGGTTTTAGGTTCTGGCTTGATTTGTTTGCTGTTTCATGCGTATATGCTATAATTGCGTTCAAATTGACACCTTCAGTATAAACGTTTTCTTTTTTTTTCTCTCTCATGATCTCACTGCCTTTGGTACCTTCTCAAAGCATGCACACCCCAAAAATAAAGTTCTGTGATTTTAAAAATGAATTCGTCATACACAAATTGTTGCCTAGGAAAAGAGCCATTTAGAGGAAATTGCAGATGCACAGATTTGAGTGAACTACTGCTCATAATTTTCCAATTAGTTCTTGTTTGTGTGTGTGGATTTTTCATTTTTAATGCTGCACCTTTCTCTCTTCGTTTGTGTGTGTGTGTGTGTGTGTGTGTGTGTGTCCAGTGGCAAGCTCATTTCTCTGCCTCCTAGTAGCTGTTGAGGGGTTTATGAGATATGATCGTGGATGAGTCTGTTGGCCCCACTCTGAAATTTATTGAAACAGACCATCTTGTGTATTCAGTTTAATTCATAAAATTTGGAATAGGAGATCTGAGTGAGAATGGCCATGGCTTATCCACTAAGGTATGTGAAAAATGACTTTTAAGTGAGAACATGATTGAGTGCTGGAAGTAGACCAGAAGAGCGTATCAGCGATGGTTTGACTGACGTGCATCACAAAAACCTGGTGAGGCTTGGAAAGCAGGGATTCTGAGATCATGGACAGCCATGTTTACCTCCAGGACAGGAAACATTTCTATCCCCAAAAGGTGTTTTATGTTTCAAGAGGTGCTTAGGTAATCAAGTGACTGAATCAGTTCCCAAACGTTGTGAAACATAATACAGATGTTTTAGATTTATCTCAAGGGGCCTGGGTTTTTCAACCTAACACCCACACACCATAGATGCCAAAAACAGAAGGAGTCGCCAATCATGAACCCAGTAAAATGTCATCAAATTCAAACTTTTGTATGATCAGTCTCAACATATACCCCTTATTTTCACATGTGACTTAAACCATTATTTGCGTGGATGATGATTTCCAATTCTCGATTAAGTTTGAAATTGAATGATATCTCATGATATCTTGAATGAGTGGAGAGTAAGGACTATTTAAGGTCCCTATCATTCTCTGTTGGCTTAAAAAGATAACTTCCCAAGGAAATCTTGGTGGCATGCTCTCCTGCCATCTCCAGACCAGTGGGTAGGCAGGCCTGCTTTCACTAGTGCACGGCCTACAGAGGACCACTGCAGGACTGCTGCCACCAGAGTCACCTCCTGTCATTCTTCTCCTGTGCCAGGATCTTTGAAAAAGCAAGCATCCCAGCTGTACCTGAATTTCAGTTAGAACAGAGAACTAATGTCTAGTTTTAATACTTTTTAAGAATAGTATCTGTAATTGAGCAGTTTTCAACTAAGTAGGTGATTATGAACAATGACTTGTTATCTGATGATACTGCTGAACTTTTGCCTGAGACCTCTGATTCTTCTGTTTTTGAACTTTTCTCCTTTTTCTTTCTGGTTTTGGCTTCATTGGACCCTGGACTAAATGCCTGTCTCTGCCGTTCCTTCCTCCCTTGTAAGTACTCAGAGTATAAGTTTTCAAAGGGAGTAAGTTGGCAGTAAGGAATGCCATGCTGATATATATAGCTACTTATGTTTCTCCTTTGCATAAGCCCTAGAGGTCGTTCCATATCTCCGGAATCCCCAGCATGTCAGCTGACCACACAGCTCACCGCTGAACAGAAAGATTTTGTCATGCTTTTTCTCATACGTCTTTCTTGTTTAAAAACTTCACTCTCCTTACTATGTTTTGGCAAAATCAATGTATGTATCTGCTTCCCATACTACAAAATATTACTTCGGATACTTTTCTGTTGGGGTGTGTCCCGCAATGATGTCAGAAAAGCCTATTAAATCTTCTGGGAGGCTCTTGGGCAGTTTCCACTTCTCCAGCTAAAGGACATTCTTTTCTGTTGCTGTTGTTGTCCTGACTCTGCCGTCGCTGTTCTGGAGCCTGGTCTGCCCTTCGTTGCATCACTAATGTTCTCCGTCTGTGAGACAGGACTATGGTGGCTCTTCTTTCTTTGTTAAATCCAAGATGCAATTCCTCTGGTTCAGGTATCTCTAGACAGCACTTGATCCTCCTCTGGTTATTTTAGGTTTTGTTTTTTGCTTTTTTTTCCTAATCACATCTGTTTGGTTCTTGTGTTTTTTTCTTTGTCTCAGAAAGTCCAGGAGACTTACATTTTCCTCGCCTACTCTCTCCTCATCTTAAAAATTTCTGCTAAAATAAAATGTATAGCTTTCTGCTTTCGGCTAGCCCCAGATATCTAATTTATGTGCATTATTCTAAATTTATCTTGCATAAAAGTCCCTTAAGTTAAGAAATTATTTTTAATAAAACAGAATTCATGTGTTTCACATTTATTCCAACTAAAGTATGTGATTATATCTTTGAATGGGAACAGTAGAACCAGAAAAACTGGAGTGTAGGGCCCTGAAGAGGACCACATTTTAGTGGAGGGGGCATAGAACAGAGAAGTAAAAGAAATGTGTGCCAGCAGCTTCGTGGCGGAGCCTGGCCTTTGGTTGTCATCGTTTTCTCAGTCCTCTAACCATGGAGATGTTTGCTCTGCATTTACATGGACTGAAGTATTTGAACACCTGTCTTAGACTTTGATCACCATGAGAGCTGAATGAAATACTCACAGTATCTGATGTTATGCTTAAGTCTGTCATGTACAGGGACCTTGGGCAGACCAAGAACCTCAGTTTTCTCTCACGACTTTCAGGCTTAGTCCACAGGTTCAGTATGGGCGTTGAATGAGATCACGTTCATGGAAGTGTCCTCTGTGTGTATGAATGTACCGCAGGATCATTGGCTAAATTGTGAGCAAATCGCTGCTGATAAGCCTTCTTC